TTGGTACTGCCTAGTGGGGTTTTGTCTTCTCAAAAATTCTCCAGAGGGAATCTTTGTCTAATCACCTTTCCTTGTCAATGATGAGGTATGTTCATTAATTTCAAATAAACTGCAAAATGTGCATGATACGTTACCAAAACGTGTTTTTGCTGTGTAGTTTCAGGTTTCCACTTTTCTAAACAAGAAACACCAGTAAAATGTTTCCTCTTCTTTTAAAACAAAGATCAGACCAAATTAAAAGCCCACCCATTCATAAATTATCCAGCTCAAAATCTATCCTTTTTCAAACTATTAAGAGTTAAGTTTAAATTTGATGGGACTTTCTTTCTCCCCACATGAAGGTTCAAAGGATCTCACATTCTTGACATAATTTGTGTGTCTCCTCCAACCCTTAAATGAAGCAGATAATACAAGAAGTTAGACTTTAACCTTTGAATCCGTGCATAATAAAGAAAGACCGTTAACACCAGAAGCTCCACTGTTAGACAAATCTAAGGGTGCATTTAGTAACAGTCAAGCTGAGGTTAATTATTACACAGGTACATCTGTCCTACAAAATCCGATGCATGCTGTATGTTTTACAACATACTCAGCAGTATTGTATGAAAAATCGAAAACACATCGCTTCATTGTACAGTGGATGACAGATCTGTGTACCATGCAGGCAATTCAAATCATCCTCTTAAGAACTGAGGAAACAAGTATCTTTCAGGTTAAATGTTTTTGTGATGTCCTGCCTCTTTCGAGCTAAAAGAAGCCAACCAAACACACAAGATATCATTGGATAGGACAGGATATCCTGTATTGAGCACATATTAGGTTAGCTAATATTTATAGATGTTAAAGATGATATAAATTAACAGGCTGGGTTTCAGAAGGATATAGCACCAATTCACAATAATAGCTGTCTTGTGGCGTTTTATAGTGTAAAGGCCCTACAATATCAGAAAGAAATCCCAACATTCACACGCCCCCCTATGAGCAAGAACTTGGCAACAATGATAAGGAAATGCTCAAGCCGACGCAGGCTCAGTGAAGGGCAGCCATCCGCTGTGACCAGCTGGGGGTGAGGGGCAAGAGAAGAA